TTATAATATACTTGCAGAAACTCTTTTTCAAAATCAAATTTATCTAAAGAAGGACCATTCATAACTATCATTAAATGAGAATTAAGTGTATTTAATTGCATCTGATTTTGAAGTTTTATTTTAATTAAATTTTGTTGATAAAATATACGGTCAACATTTCAATTTGAAACAGGAACAATTAATAATTAGGATATTGAGTAATAAATTGAGTAGTATGAAAAATAAACTCCCGTCCTTCAATAAATTTAAAAGTTGTATAATTGCATAAAATTAATTTAGCTAAAAATACTTGACTATTTTCATTTTGATCCTCCCCATAATATTTAGTTAGATATTTAATTTTTATTTCACTAAAGGTGCTTATTTGTTGCATAGTTGTTAGAACTTGTTTAAAATCAAAAATACACTTAGTATTATATAATGCTGTATTTTGTAAATTTATTATTATTGTATTAGCAAAATCTTTAGCAAAACTAGAGATTGTATTAACTGAATATTATATCAGTCACCTAATATGTTACACTGTAAATTTTTGTATATATAAAATTAGGAAAATTATAAGCATCTCTTGTGAGATATGTATTTCTTCAGGATATACATCTTCCACAACAAAATTCATTAAGTTTATTTAGAGTAGGGTTAAAGATTTTTTTAGATTAAGAGTTTAATAAAATAAATAGTAAAATTGTACAAAGAATATTTTTATTAATGCATAAAAAGTAGTTTCTTATGCAAATTTTTAGAAATAAACAATTTTTGAAAAGACATATATTTGTTTTGATCTTCATTATCATGTTACATTACACAAAATTTTGACAAAATTTTGACTCTCTATTGGATAATTTAAGGGTTATATATATTTCCCAAAAGAAGTCTAATAACATCCATAAAAATTATAGCAAAAATATTTAGAATTACATATAAACTATGTTGCAATAATGTTTTTTCTATTATATATTAATTTTAAATTAAATTTTACAAATAATTACATCAAAAAAAGGAGAAAAATTACATTTTAGACCAAATAAAAATCTTGCAATTTTGATATAATTTAAAAAGAGTTATATAATTTAA